TAAAATTGGTCCAATAAGTTACTTTCCATAACTCTCAATATCCACCACTAATCATTACACCTTTGTATGCCTTAATATCTTCCTTTCTTCTGTCAGACATATCCTAATTGCATAACATTAATTACTTGCCAGTCCCTCTTACAACTTCATGAGTTTTAAAATGTACTGAAATTTAACACTGACAGTCCAAAAGCATGGAAGTACGATGTATTCATCACCAGGAAATGTCAATACTTCTGTGTGTAGCTGCTGATTAACAACTGTTTTACTTATGAACTTTGACGCATTCCATGGTAATCCCCATTTTCATAAGCTACTGCTTCAAGTGATTTTTTTCCCCTGTTACCTGAGGAAGGTCTCCATGTTTTCTACATCAACAATCATCAATGTTAACATTTTAATCTTGTACACCATTCACCAATCTCAATACCTCTTCTGTTCAGCCTCAAATATGAAGAATGCAATTCTCCACACATTGATTTTGCCTTGTGTACTTTCTACTCTATTTGCTTAGTCCTAAAATGCCATTAATATCTATTAGTAACAATTTGTTCTTCGTATTCTATCTCCTCTGAATACAATCTGGCTTTTTCACACAGCAAGACTTCTGCTTTGGTGCTCTTTGCAGATAAACATAATAGCACAAACTTCTTTCAGAATAACTTTTCCTAAACTCTTTCCCCCAGTAGACTCAGCTGCTAAGTCAAACTTTAAGCACAGCATCACAAAGATTTAATGTAAATTCTGAGGGACTTTGTATCTCAGTGAAATTAATTTCAAGTTACTCTTCTACTTTGAAACTCAGAGTTCCCCTATGTCATCAGTGCAACCATGAGCGTAACAGTACAATGATCCTGCACGGCTTAACGTGTATAACATTGACAAAGCTTTTCAGCACTGCTTGAATCAGATAGGAAAGGACAACAAAATACATGGAACTAATCTGAAGCATTTAGCAAACTCATATATAAAGCTGCAACTTGACTGCACAAGACAAGATCAACTCAGAAGGACCTTTGCCAAAAACATTAAAGGTTTCTCAGAATTTTAAATACTGCTTTAATGAAGTATAATACTGAGTTTGGATGAGTCCTTTATTCCAAAAAGTATCTAGTGTTACCAACCAGAGCATACTGAATATTGGATAAGGGCAGATATATATAAAGCAGAGATAGAAATGTAGAAAGACAAATTCTAATTTTGCCTCAGTCAGGACAAAGGAATTCCAGAAGATGGACACAGTAAGGCTGCTGAAACAATGGGCTAGCCATTTTAAGGCTTAATTGGTAATTAAATCTTTTCCAGTCTTCTTAAAGGAAAAAAAAAAAAATTATAAGTTTTTTTTTTAGGGTTTACAGTACACGTAAGGGCAGGGCATAAAATCAATTTTAAAAAAATTAAAATACTGAAGCAAACAATCCCCTAAAGTTCTCAGCTACTGAAGTTGACACTACACAATTTATTATATACTTGAAATCAAGAGCAGAACTGGGAAAGGCAGAGAAGTGCCTGAAGCACTGTTATAATTCCAGCAGCAAGTATCCATGCTGAACTTGGAAGACAACTGCACAAGAACTTTATCTACCATGAAACAGAAATTTCAGTTAATTTCTGATACTTGATTCTTTCCATTTTACATTGCTGCATTATTCCACAGAAGTCAGAAGGTACTGTTTATCACATAAAATGGTTTTTTTTCTACTGCCAAGGGACACAAGCTCACAATGCTTTACAACACTAGACTAGTAATCTTTAAATATTATTCCCTAGAAGGATGCTGAGAATGAACTTAATCCTTAGAATACAGCTAGCATGACTTAGAAAGTTAGATAGCTCTATAAAATTGTTGAGTTCAGATGAAATCAACACATACCCTCCCCCATTAAAAGATTCAGATCCTGAAATCACACCAAAGACCAGCCCTACTTGGGGTGAACCATTATCGGCTTTATATAACTCCTCCAATAACTGACTTTGGCCTTTTTAGACAATAAACTTACAGTGCTTGTGAATTCTCAACAAAAACAAAAGAATGGTTTGTAAATAAGCTGATACCTAAAGAACTTTGGTGGGTTTTTTTTAAAGAGGGTACTTAGTAAAATGCTAATTTACTGCAAAAATTCCATAATCACCCTGCCAATGTAAATTTTATTTCATTTTTAAGAGTTAATTTTATTCCTTGGAATACAATGTTGAAGTAATGCATAAAATGTTTCCTGTCAGGTTATAAATACATTTCAGAAAAAAAAAAATAAAGAGCATAAAGACTGCACATTTAAGTTTAACCTTGAACACATCAGATCTGTTGCATGGCAACTGAAATACAACCTGAGTGTATGTGTTGTAACAGCCTCTAATAACATGTCCTTATACTATACCTATATTCATGGTACATCTCTGTTCTACACTACACAGGAAAAGCAAAGCCCAGTGGACTGGGTAAGTTTGGAAATGACAAATATTTTTACAAAATTAGATGAATATACTTATTCTGAATAAAACTTTTTGGGAAGACATTTAATTATGTATAAAGAGCCCATGATGAATCTGCATTACCTTTTAAGATAAGCTTCCCTTCACACTTCATCTCATCTGAACATTAACTATGAACACAATTATCATACATCTGTGAAGTCATGTTTTTCATAATTTTTATGGATCTCAACAAGTACTCTTAAGAAAACTGAAAAAGAATTATAGCTTCAGCTAGCTGCTGTTAGGAAGACTATTAAAAAAAAGAGGAGGAGATTCTTGCAAAAGTGCCTCAAAAGCTTTGTTTATTATGGTCTAGCTCATTCCTGATTCAGCTTCTTTGAGGTATCAAGGTAATTCCAAGTAAGAAGCAATAAAAATTTTTTGACTTGAGTACTCTGTGTTTTCCCTCACTACGTTTACATGCACCAAATCTTATCTGGGGGCTTGGGTCAAATAATTTAGATTCACTTGTCAGACACAAGTGGACATGTGGTAGACACACTGAAAAGAAAAACATAAGGATTTTATACCTGAGAAAATACGTGTTTCTGATAATACTGGTAATACTCATATGTCCTTCACTGCAACACAAAAAATTGTTGACAATTGGGTTATTGGGTTGATAAACCAAAAAAATGCTTGTGATGAAGTGAGGAAGAGCAGCACTACAACCATAAGAAAAACAGGAGATGAGGGAAAAGAGTACATTACAAAAATATGTTCTGATTCATGCAGAAGTTTCTGGATAAATTTAGGGCTTGTGCTCAAAGACAGCCCATTTGTTTTTGTATCTCTGGGTTTTCTTGGTTTTGCTGGGGTGATTTTGTTTATGAATTTTGTTTGTTCATTTACTCATATACATCTTCTTTGGCATCCTCAGAAAATACCACTGGTTTTAGAGGACAGGTCTAATGCTGGCCGCCAAGAATCCAAGTATACTTAATAGATGTGAAACTGTAGGCTGAATATCATGATAAAAGTCATAAAACCAACACAGTACTTCCAACCATGTATTTATTTACAAAGAACTTAACATTATCACTGGCATTTTCTAGATAGAAGAGTGAGATATAATGAAGAGGACAAAGGAAGCAAGAATGGACCTGGACGGGGAAAGGCCTATTCAAGGAGCTGACAGGAGCAGAATATTCTACAACAAATGTAAGAGGGGAAACATGGGTCATTCACTTGAAACCAAGACCTTGTACTTCTACCTCCTACCCCATCTACAACAATACATAATCCACCTCAAAGAGATTATAAAGGAATAACAAAGTTCATACTACAATAATCAGAACACTGATGTAAATCTGTTAGATGCTCACTGTTCATAACAGATAAGAGGTGAAGATGTTCTTATGTATTTTAAAGAGAAAGATAAATAGTGAACTATGAAGTTTTGTCATATACCATGTCTCTCCACTGATTTTAATACATGAAAAGTATTTTTTAATATAGTTGCTGCTGCTATTGCCATTACTACCCATAATAAAAACCATCATTTATCTAACTGCTTTAAAACAATGTGGCTTTGACATCAAGTTTTTAAGTACCTGCCTTGTTCTGAAAGAAATACGGGGGTTTTCATCTTTAACTATGTATATTTTAAAAATAACTCTTGCTTACAGAGTGAAAGTACACAATACAAAAAGCATAAAACCCTCTCCACAAGCAAGTATTCAAGCTTCATTTCTCTTTTCCCCCAAAATAGAAAAATTAAGCAAAAAACAATGCCACTGTAACAACAAAAAGGACAAAATTTCCGAGTTTCAAAGGTGAGGTAATTTGTTATTTTTTATAACACAAAAGCTTTGAAAGAAACTTCAGAGCAACAAAGACTTTGGTAGATAAGAGTATTGTGCCAGGCCATTCCACAACAGGTTTACTGGAAACAGAAAGCCACTCACAGCCCCAAATGCGCATAACATTTAGAACAGAGGAAGAACAAACCAGCCAATTTCAATTGCTAAATAGCACACGAGAATATGAAAGTGTCATCCGGCTGCACAGGAGTCCAGATTCAGAATATAATTTTACATGTTTAAACTGGTTATTCTCCATGCAGACATTCTGATTTTCAGTTAAGCTAAATTGGGAAAATGTAATTGAGGGACACATTCAGCAAAGCTGACATACCTGAGTACCAATTTTGTTTTCTCTGTGTAAAAGAACACACAGACAATAAAGTCCATACTAACTATCACTTTATTTTTTTTAGCTAAACCTGTCACATATAATTTTCAAATAACCTATTTTCATGCAACTCTTCCCCCTACAGCTTCAAAGCCTGCACTTGTATAGCCTCTAGGTCAATACATAAGTCAATCTACTACAGCCACCTACAGCACAGTGGCACCTATACACATGTAAGAACAAAACTTACTTTTCCAACAGTCCTTTTTCCCCCAGTGTGATTTTCATGATATTTTAAATTATATTATGTTCTTGAAAAGCATACTCAGAATAATAGATAAAATAATAAAAACATATTTTGATGTAAGAAGACAAATCCAATAAATGCCTACCTGAACCCACTGGAGATGAACCAACACTAAGACTTTGTAAACTTCCATTCCTGAGCAAAGTTGGAGATTTTTGAAGACCAGAGCTTGTCACACTTCCTGCAGCAGATGCCACAGATGAAGTTGGGGAAGCAGAAGAAACTGAAAGATGGGAAAGACTTTCTTGACTTTTATTTCCTTTAGGTCTACCAGGCCCATGTTTACTTTGCTTATTTCCTTTCCGTTTCTTCTCTGTTACAGTTTCTTCTTCTATTCCAGAAGTTTGAGCTCGTTTGTATGCTGTAGAAGTAAGGCTTGAATTACTTATGTCTCCAGGCGAGCTGTCAAAGTTTTTAGATTGGGAAACAGCTGCTGATGATGAAGGGAGACCAATTAAGGAAGTGAAACAATTGACTCCTCCCTCTTGGCTCCCTGCCTCTCCTTTATGTACATCTTTGGTTGAGGAAGCCTGTTGAGAATGTGTGAAACTGTCACTTCGCAGATCTGTGTCTGTAAAACTCAAAAAATCTTGGGGAGACTGAACTGAACTTCCAGAAGATGATTTTATGCTCCCAGGAGTGCCCAAAAAGCTTCCTAAAAAAGGAAAGAAGTACAATTATGTTTTTCCCTATAGTTTATGAAAACTGATGGGAAGTATTATGATCTTAGAATAAAAAACTTTAATGTGAAAGGACTTTATGAAAAGCTTTACCAAGAGCTAAAGAATTTTTTAAATAACTCATTGGTTCTCCTGCTGATCTTCACTTTGCTGAGTATGATTCTCAGATTCCTGTCCCGAGATTCAGATTTGCATCTGGGGCACAAACAAGGTAAAAATGAATAAAAGAAAAAAACCTACTTTGTTGCTCAGGCAACTTTTAACATCCATCATATTTTGAAGCCATAACAAACACTTGATGCAAACTGGAGCAGTTTTTTTTTTTTAAATATACACATATATAAAAAGAAAGCCGACAGAAATGTGCTATGCTCACATATACACCATGTCTGCAATCTTCCTTACCATTCCACCTAAAATCAAGGGTCTGACACAGGTCAAGGGACAAACAATTGCGCTTAATTCTCCCTGGCTGAGGAGGAGTTCCACAGAAGACATACTTTTCAAAAGTACAAGAGAGAAAGTGAAGAACATTGTATAAAATTGGCACTTTAAGATTTCTTTAGTACTGTCACAAAACCATAAAGATCTTTTGTGCAACAGAATTAATTACACTCCTCCAGTATTTGGAATGCAGTCATAGTGCAGTGCATAGTGCATTCAAGACAGAAAATAAAGCACTCTTGGGAAATACAGACATCTACTTGCACTGAAATTCACTGCTTTTATACAGGTGGGTGCATGTGGGTACCATTTCACAGAATTCAGACTGATGACAACATCAAGTAAATACTCCTAAATATGACATTAGGTATAAAAAGCCCGTGTCCTTTAAAAACTAGTGTTTTATCATTAGTACTCCACTAAACATTGTTAAGAATTCCATTTAAAATACAACTTACATAAATACAGGTATTTTAAAAAATTAAAGTTTGGGGTTTTTTTGTGTTTTAAGTAAGTTTTATCAACTTCACTTGATGCTGCCCAAAAGAAAATACATGCACATAGTAAAGATCTATTTTGCCATCTGCAGTTTTTCTTTAAATGAAGAACTCCAGAAGGCGATTTTTAAAGTTTTGAAAATTTAAATAAAAAAACCCACTTCCTCTTTTTTCTACTAAAAAAACCTGAAATATTGAAAGAGCTTTAGACAAATTTACAAGTGTTCACTGCATAAATAAAAGAAAATCAAAGTCACAAAGCAGAAACGACAGTCAGCTACTAAACACCACAGTGAAAATTACTAAAAATTACTTTATAGAAGGCCTAAATTGTTGTGTTTCCAAATAACATGTTACAATAATTAACAAATTTTTTTAAAAAAAACCTTTTAGTTTTTTCCATCATTTTTTCAACTCTGAAGAAGATTCCATAATAAAGTTTGCTTTCTAGAAGTGTCCATAGTACATGTAAGTAGGTTTTAGCAAGTTCAAAAAGTAGAAGGTTTTGTATTACCTAAGGTAAACAAACCTTACATACTTTTTACATACTCACCTTCCGTTTATACATATCAATGACAAAACAATTATGTAGAAATTTCACCCTGAGGAAAATTGTGTTCTTTAAATATCTGCATTGTGAAAAATGACTGAGGGCCCAATGCATCCTATGCATTAGGTAGTCTGGTTCTGTTCTTTAGCCAGTACACTGACCAAAAAACATCAGTATTACTCCCTTGAAGAGATAAGACCTCTAGAGTCAAATTCATATTAAAGTTTACCCCAGACTAACTTTCTGGCACATAAAGACACTTCTGTTTGCAGCTAAAGAGAATACCTTAACGATCTGAACAATAGCATCAGTTCTGCCTTTTAAAAATGTACAAATTTCTTTTTCATGTTATAGCAAAAATCAACTTTACCCTGAAAAAAAGTTGGGATTTTCCCTGAAGTGAAACAACATTTTCAATATTGAGGATAAAACATTAACAACTTTTCAAGTTCTACATACATAAAATTTCTAATTCATGTCAAAGCAGAAGTTGTGTTACAGCGTAACAATCAGTACCTTGCTGAAAAGGGCTAGCTGCAGTCACAGTTGCTCCTGGATTTCTTCCAGCACCCGGCTTTCTTCCCCTCTGACCTGAGCTGTGACCTGCAGATTTCTTCCCTTTGCTCTCTGACCCTCTAGCCTCTGAAGAGTCTTTTCCACTTGAAACGTGTGTAGGAACTTCCTGGAAATTTGCATTTGTAAATCGAGCTGAGGTATCTTCCAACCGCTTCAAGGAGCCTGACATGGAGTTGTTGCTAGTGCTTGTGTATGTCTGGCATTTTAAAAGAAAAAAGAAATCAAAGAAACAAGTTACACAAAAAACTGTAACAGCTGTTTAAAGGACCTCATCTTTCAAACAAACACAGAAGTGCTCAAATACTACTGTAACTAGAAACAACAGGAATTACAGCAGCTGAACTGTGAAGATTCTCAGGTACATAAAACATTTTGTGGAAAAAAATGTATAATGGCTTTGGTTGAAATTTTTGCTTCACTGAGGTAAATGGAAAAATCTCATGGGTACAGTTTTTATAGTCTATTTAAATTGTGTATTGTTATTTTATGCTTAAAATTAAAAATTAGAAAATAAACTTAATGCTTTTCTGAGTATACAATTTTTATGCCTTTTTTGTTAAACTGGAAATGTTGTTCCATCAGCAGCAGAACGGTTGAAAGCATCAGAATCTAAGAACTTGGATTTTTAAGATTTTATAGCCTCAACACCAAAGCAAAATCAGCTCCCTAGCATGTGAACTATCCCCATTAATTTCCAATTCCTTAAGAGCCACCAAGTAAAGAAGACGAGAGAGCTGACCAAGAAACACTTCACTTCAAACCTGCTCTCTGACAGGCATGAAAACACCCTTGAGCTCCCTATGCAAATATCCTCCTCAACCCCTACCCACCCCCAAGAATTCTGGCCTTTTTCTTACACTTATACACTCTCCACAGGGCTTTCAAAAATTTCATCTTTAGGTCTATTGCTTGTCTGTTGAATTTTGCCAGAATTGTTCCTATTGGTGAACAACAGCCAAAAGAAGTTTCACAAGAAGTAATTAGGTGGGCAGGGAAACCACATGCACAACATCAGGAAACCATACAAGGGAATATTGTTGTTCTCATGACTGAAAAAAATGTGGAGTTGTTGTAACTGAATTTTAGTAACATAAAAAAGAAAACCAAAGCAAAATCAGAAAAAAAGAAAAAAAGTTATACTGTTATTTATACACAAGCCACTTAGTAAAATAGCTGTTTAAAGCTTCTTTAAAAAAATATGGATCAAACCTAGAAGCTACTCATCTGTTCAAAACGAGCTTGTCTGTTTTTCAGTTCTTAACAGAATAGAATTTCAAATAGTATCTATAGTTATCTCCATTAAAGACCACACATACACATACCTCTTAAAATTGAGCATACACACACATTTTCCCTTCCCCAAGTGGGATGCTTGCTGAATTTAGGCCTACAACAGAATGTTTTTTCGTCTTTACATAAAGCTTGGTATAGCAGCTATACAAAGTTTTCCATATTTTACTAAAATAGCTAAGACATTTACATAAATCTTACTTTTCAGTTGCAAATGACAGAAGACAACTAAATATACAAGCTTTGAAGAAAGAAATATTTCGATATATTTGCATACCAGGCCAGGCAATGACAAGTAGACATTAATTTGTAAACACTGTGCTGTGATTTAGTTTGACTGCAAGCCTGAATCCCATTCCTGGCAGATTTCGAAGAATATGCATGCACAACACAATTCTGCTTTGGAAAATTTTGCTCCCACAGCTATTTGCATTTCAGAAGGTGCTATAAGGTGTACTGAAATCTACATGCTTACTCAGAGAATCAGTAACACTAACACGATGAAATATACCCTAAGCACAGAGAGCTACTGTCATTTTAATGCTCTCCATCTATCACTCTGTGTACCCTGAAGAATTACACTATCCATCTGCAGCAAGTCTTAAAACTACTGAGGATTTATGGTAAACATGCAATAATCATTCTTGGTATATATCTAGTACATTCCAAGGTTTGAGTGGCCTTTAGCCCTATGCAGATGCATAAGGCAGTACCCTTGCACAGACAGAGGAAGGTCCATGGCAAGTGATTCTCCACAAAAAATGCCAATTGGTAAGAGCAGAGTCTGAGCAAAAACCAACCAACCCAAAAAAACACCAAAATCAACACTGGGTTTGCATGGCCAGGCTTTGGTAAAGGGGGGCTATACAGGGGGCTTCTCTGAGAAGCTGCCAGAGGCTTCCTCCATGTCTGGCAGAGCCAATTCCAGCCAACTTCAGGACTAACCCAAAGCTTGCCAGGGCTGAGCCCATCAAAAATGGTGGTAACACCTCTGTGACAGCATACTGAAGAAGGGAAAAAAAAGGCTTATTGGGCACATGTAACTGTGGCCAGAGAAGGGCAGACTGAGAACATGTGAGAGAATCAACTCTGCAGACACCCAGGTCAGTGAAGAAAGAGAGGGAATAGGTGATCCAGGCACCAGAGCTGAGATTCCCCTGCAGCCCATGGTAGACTGAAGACCATAGTGAGGCAGCTGCACCTCTTAGCCCATGGAGATCCATGGGGATGCAGAGATTGACCTGCAGCCCATGGAAGAAACCCACCCCAGAGCAAGTGGATGCCTGAGAAGAGGCTGTGACCCCATGGAGCAGGCTCCTGGAAGGACCTGGAGACCTGTGTAGAGAGGAGTCCTGATGGACCTGCTGGAGCCGGTTTCCTGATAGGATCTGTGACCCTGTGGGGGACCCACACTGGAGGCAGGCTGTGACTGAAGGATTGCATCCTGTAGAGAAGTGATCCACATTTCAGCAGTCTGTGGAGAAGTGTAGACCATGAGATGGACTCATGATGGAGAATGAAAGACAGTCTCCCATGGGAGGGATGCTGGAGCTGAGAGAGGACTTTTCTCCTTAAGCAGCTGCAGGAGCAACCAGTGACAAACTGATCATAACCCTCGCTCACCTCACCTCAGTGTTCCTGCACTGCTGGAAGGAGCCAAAGCTCAAAACATGAGAGAGAAATTTTTTTACCAGGAGCAAATACAGGGCTGATGGCTCTTTCCAACTAAGTAGGCGGGCAGAAGAAGAGGCAGCAAAGAACTCAAATTCCTAAGTTATTGTAGTTCTTCTTAAAACATTCTATATCAATGTCCCAAAAGTGAAAAAAGTAGTGCTACTACTTTAATCAAAGAGTAGTCACGCATTTCTTATTTCAAATATTTTCAAACTTAACTGATTCAGACTGAACAACATTTGCTATGACATTACAGGGATGCACAAAAGCGCCTCTCAAAATAGCAGGGGCTGGAACCTCAGTAAAATTTCTTGGAATTAAATTCTGCAGAACAAACAGGCAATTCAACTACACTACTGGAAGGTAAGTTCTGTTCATCATGCAGAATCATTTTTCATGATTCTATCTAAAGAAACCACTCATCTAGATAAGATATGCTTTAAGACATCACCTGCATAAATGGTCATTACCACTAGATTCACAAACATTCAACATCATAAAAAGGAAAATTTCATTTCAAATTTCAGTTCCCCCCACAGGAATATTATGGTAGCAAAAGTGATTATATACCACGATAAAGTCATGCATTCAGTACAAAGAAAGACTGCTGTGAAACAGAGATCAGGTTCAAATCAATTCCAGCAACTACATAAAAGGACACATGAACGTAATATATTAATACAATATTCTGAACCAAATATTCATCTTAGGAAAAAATAAAACTTGTTTCATTACTAAAATTTCAAAGTTTTGAGGAAGAATTATGAGTTTATAACCTAGAAAAGGAAATGCATGTAAATGGTGTTAAAAGGACTCAGGAAAAAAAAATAACTGAAGGAACTAGCCAAAACAACAACAAAAAAAATCACTTCCATATATCCAATAGATACTTTTTCAAAAAACGTAATCGCACTTAGGAACCTCTGAATGCAAATTTTCCAATAAAAACACCCATAAAAAACTGAACACCAATTTTCCTGATGATTTGAAGCACTGTAAAAAAGGCAATAAATGAAGCAAACAGGTTAGGTAAAGAAAACCCACATGCTAAAGATTAAAATAAAAAAACAAAAAACAAAAAACAAAAAAAAACAACGAAAAGGGCATGATGATATTCAAATTCCACAATTAATATTCTGTTTTAGTTTAATTAAGTTATAATTTAAGTTCTAGAATTCGATATTTTTTGTTCACTTTAGTGTTTGCTCTAGCTCATCCTTGTGGCTATCCATAGGAGTAAACCTTTTAATTTAGGAAAAGGATAGGGAGGACAAAGCAATTAGAAATAAGCTTAGCAGAAAAACAGAATCCAACTGTGTCTCTGGCATTAAAGGCATATTCTAAGAGGCAGGATGCCAAAGTTCATCACAGAATCACAGAATGACTAGGTTGGAAGAGACCTTCAAGATCGAGTTCAACCCATGCCCTAATACCTCAACTAAACCATGGCACTGAGTGCCACATCCAGTCTTTTTTTAAACACATCCAAGGATGGTGACTCCACCACCTCCCCAGGCAGACCATTCCAGTATTTTATAACTCTTTCCATGAAGAACATTTTCCTAGTGTCCAACCTAAATTTCCCTTGGCGCAGCTTAAGGCTGTGTCCTCTGGTTCTGTCAGTTGCTCTCTGGTGAGAAACCAGCCCACACCTGACTGCAAACACCTTTCAAGAAGTTGCAGAGAGTGAAAAGTTCACCCCTGAGTCTCCTTTTCTCCAGGCTAAACAACCCCATCTCCCTCAGCTGTTCCTCACAGGATTTGTGTTCCAAGCCCCTCACCAGCCACGTTGCCTTCTCTGGATGCACTCAAGCGTTTCAACGTCCTTCCTGAACTGAAGAGCCCAGAAATCAATATCTCCATTTTTTTTTAATTTTTAAAGAAATATACAGTAATATCACTTTTTCTAAAAAGTTATGATGACTAGATAATCAAAGTACAAGAGGGATGTAATTCAAGAAAGGTATGTTCATACATAGTATAAAACCTAAAGAAAGGTAGTAAAGTTTAAAGAAGTTTCCACACAGCTTCTCTTACAGGCTATTTTATTCTCTTACAGGAATTTTAGAAGTTGTCTCAGACTCAAAAGGAGTATGTTTAGGGCAAATTAATAAAATGAAATATCCAATCATGTGGACCAGTTAATAATACTCAATGTGTTCTACAACCTAATTTCAGTAGAAACTGTCACACTCACTGACTGCAATCTCTAATTGCTCTTAAGTCAAACCAGCTAAGTGGTAAATTGACTCTAACCTTTCTTCTATTTTTTTTTTTTTATAGAGTTATTTAGAGTTTCATAAAACCACTAAGTCTCACTTGACACAACTGCATCAAAGAGAATACAGTAGAACAAGAAAAAGGACTCTTAACAGAAGAGTGAGCTACAAACAATGGGATGTTAGCAGGTATGAATTCTCCAGCTAATAATCTTACTACTGAGAATGAAGAAATACGCAAAGCATACTAAAAATCTAACTTTCTTGGAGATTATTCTTGAAATTGATACCACTAGTTGAGAGAATACTTCCAGAGACCAGAGAAAGCTGGTATTTCAATTGTTTCACCCCATCCTGATGAGGTCTTGGTGTACCATATGCAAACACACATTTGTTGAATGTAACACCTCACCAACCAAACCACACACAGCTAACACAAGCCTCAACACCTTTGCTAAAATACAATGATCTGTGTGCTAAGCACAATTCAATTCAAACCATGATTCCCTGACTCTGATGTCAAACATCTCCACTTGAACGGGACACATTTTATCCAGCTTTGAAATCAGAAATCCCATTTCTCAGTAGTACTACTCACTCTGTAATGCCAACATTAGTGTCATTTTACTGGTGCACAGCAGAAGTGATTCTTGCTGAGTACAATGAAAACTGTCTTTATTTAATCCTGTATGTTGCTACTGGAATTAGGTTTGTTCTAACACATCAACAGGAAGGAAACATCAGAGAAACCTAACAGAACAACCTGCTAATAAGGCAATATGAACCGTGAGCTGCAATTTCATAATTACCAGCTTTAAATGCTTACAGGTTCAGTGTCAGCTCAGCATACACAAGAATTTTGAAGGAAATACTTTCTAAAACTTCTCAAATTATTAAATATAACTCAATCAAGTAAAATTTACTAGAGTATCACTAGCACCTGACTCACAATTTAAGTACAAAACAAAGCCTTTTGCGTATGGTAAATCTCCAAGTATTTTAGGACTTTATATTACAGGAGAAAGTATCCAGAGCGCTTGATAATTACAGAATTTATGCCATTATAAAGACCCTGTTCATACAGTGGAATGATTACATTATGAAATTTTGACATAAGTAACCAAAGTGGAAGAGGAAAAAAACACATTGACTTACTTTTTCTGTAGTTACAGTAAGAGATGGAACCAAAGATGGTGAGGACTCCGACTGCTTCTTATATTTCTGCTTGTGTTTATCTTTCTCTTTATATTTCTAGAAGTTGTAAAAGACAATAAAAACTAAGTTTAGCTTCACCTTTAACATAAACCATTCTACACTGCATGAAGTGTTACCTAAATTGAAGAGAGATGGCAATAATGTCCTGTGCTATTTGGAAAACACATTAATGTTTTCAATGTTTTCAAATTTATTTTTTTATAAAAACAAATCAAATACTTATATTTGTTTTCAAAGTGCATAAACTGAAATTTTTCAATTATAATCAGCACTGATGAATGAACTGTTGTTAGTATAACCCATTTTTACAATAATCGCTTAACAAAGGAAACTGGACTAAAAATAGAGACATGGCTTCTGTTTCAAAGATCTTTATTCATTTTTCACCATAGATTTCTACTTTTCTGTACCTGCACAGTATTTTTTGTTGGGATACTAATGTAAATTAATGCAAGGTTTTAGTTCTGGCTTCTCTACTGACATCTCCATGCATAAAAATGTGAAATCTGATTTAGATTTCATTTCCAAAAAAGGGACATTTTACAAACTAAGTAAGTATTTTCCATGGTAAATTGAATAAAGTATCAAAAGTGATACAAATCAAATGTCCTTCCTAAAAGAGATGAGAATGTAATCAGTTGGGTTTTGGTTTCTTGGTTGTTTTTTTTGGTTGTTGATGTTGTTGTTGTTGTTTAGTTTTAATTTTTATTTTTTAAACATGAATGAAGCATTGGCAGTGTGAACAAAATTGTGTCAACAAAGAGAAAATAACTTCTTATCCTAGAGCCTTTATAGTATAACAGAAGTCTTTCATACTGGCAGAAATCAATTTTTGGAGGATAACAGAATCAGACCCAAATTGTATTTGTCTGAATAGTTTACACAAATACTTTACAAAAATAGCCCGTCTGACAAAACTAACAATTAAACTTAGAACACAGAAGTACAGTATTTTTTCCAGCCTAATCATAAACAAGTAATTTTTCCTTAGCAATGTAATAAGGTTTACTTGGACAGTGTCAGAAGATGCAAAGAAACTTCAGATGTGAGAGAAGTTATTTTCAAGCTTCTGGCACTGAAGTGTTTTATTTCTTTAATTATGTATTTGTGGAATTTTTGTGAACTAACACAAAACTCTGCAGAACAGCACAATGTATGGTTATTTGTTCAGACTGCTTCTACAGAGAGCTAGTAAAAAACGTGCATACATATGGATTGACACAAGGGGTTTAAAAATCCAGCTGAGAAGCTTGAAAAGACATATAAGTCTGAACAGCCATATGAAAATATAGTAACTGTTTTGAATCTTGAAATCTACCCACGCTGATCTTTCTCTATCTTAACTATCCAGACTTTCAAAAGAACATCATTTGTTCAACAGCACCTGCACAACCACTCTCCCCAAGCACCAGGACAAGATGCAATACATGTATACTCTATTCAGGTATGACCAGATAACACCTTTCTGTTTCTGCCACAACTCAAGAAATAACAGAAACTTATTTCAAAGAATCAGCCTGAGAGAGTAAGAGAATGGGCTCTCAAATTCTCTAGCTAAGTAGAATCGGTTAACTGACAACACAGTTGCAAAGCTGAAAGTAAAACACTTTTATTGTACCTTTATGAACTGTAAATACCAGGTGACTGACTTAGAGATCACCTTGTCTCTAACCAGCCCAAATCCATTTAACAAAACTAATTTTGCCAAGAATGAAATACAGTTTAACTAAGAAAGTTCATAAATCAAGTAAAAACGCTATCATCACCAACATATTCAGTAAAACTACACTTGCTAGATATAATATATAGAGTTCTTTTAATTCTTGTACCCTTCGTAAAACTCAAGGACAAGTAAACTTTAAAAAGTTAATGGGAGTTTCTAGGTTTGGGGTTTTTAAACACTCAAGTGAACTTCGGGGTTTTTTTTCCACTCTGCTACATGGATAGAAATATGGAGGTTTTCCATCATAATAAAGTGAGCAGGTGTCATAATTACAATGACATACACCATAAGGTAGGTTTTAAATCTTTAAAACCTAATATAGGTTTGTTGAAGGAGCTTTAGATCAGGGAGGTTATGTCTGTTTTGTGTTTTTCTCAAGAGGACATTGTTTGTTTGTTTCTTTTTAGACCTGGAAAACACATTAGAAAGGAAAAAACTACTATGGAGGGAAAGGATTCAAATGCACTGCAGAGTCTTTCCAGTAACAAATATAACAGTCCCCAAGGTAATATACATACTAACAAAAAGCAAGCAGGAATCAAGGAAAAACAGAAGCATCTACACCAAGACTGCCATGGTATTCATCGATTCTGTTGATACAAGACTTTCACCAGTGCTAAGCTACCAAAATTACTGCATCATCAGTGGATGTGTTTAGAAAAATTTGAGTAACAATTTCATTGAACCCCAGACAAGTTTCAAGAAGGAAGCTATGGAATGGCTAACCACTGTCTGAGTTTCTCTGGATTTCAGAATTCTACTGGGAAATTGAAATAATCCTAAAGAATATTTTTTATTTATAATTTTGGAGCCAAGGGGCAATGACTTTAATACACTTTAAGATGAAACTTCGCAACAATATCAGTAAACAATAAGAAAACTTTTAAATTAACATGTTTTACAATATTTTCTGTCAACTTTCTAGTGTCCTTTGACTTCCAGTGTTAATTTCATCTAAAAGTCAAAAAACAAAATTCTGATCAAAGGAACACTTAGGATGACTTCAAATTACATTTTGTAACATACTGAAATCAAAGGTAGTCCCTACACATAAGGAGGTGGCAGGAAGGACAAGGGACACAAAAACAGCAGGAAGGAAGGGGGCATCAGTGTCTGGAAAGAATATGTTTAATTTCTGTACAGTGAACCATTAGCAACCACAACAAATTCCTCTCCCAGATCCAAACCATCAAGACAAAGTTTGCCAGGACAGCTTACCACGGTTACAGCTTTCCACTCAAAGCCACTACAGGGGTAACCCATCCAAAAGCCTTTTGCATACAAGTATCTCATTCACAAGGCAGCTGATGTCTGTAACTCTACATTTCCTCCTTTTCGGTAATAACTCCTCTCACCATTTTTCTTTTTAATTATCTTCTTTCTTCCCAAGAAAGTTGAGAAGCATTATTTCTAAATGCGAATTGACTTCAAATGCATACAACATCAAAGAACTGGAGAACACTGCAGGAAAATCTCTGAAAGAAATGCTCAGCTTTTACACTGATAAGAATAAAAATTTCAATAACAAGCTGCTGAGACTGCTGAAGATGCGTAGCTCACACAAAGTGACTTCTTGCAGTTGCACCCTTCTCTACCACAAAGATGCAACAAAAGGTTAAGAAGAGTTCTGAATATCCACTTTGGAATTCAGAAAAGGAGTAATAAAGGGAAATTAATTCCCACAATATTTAACAAATATGACAGCTTTCAATCAAGTCTGTCTCAAAGGCCACACAAACTAGCCATCTTCCCTACTGCCAGAAAAACAACAAACTGTTAGCTCCTCATGGACAACTCTGCATGCTTCACTTTTATAAGATCTCTATTCAGTCACAGCTCTGAAAAAACGACAAGAAACATAGCAACAGCTCTCAGGATGAAGATAAACATTCATCCATTAAACTACGTGGGAACCCCCCCTTTCTAGGGAAGGTAATGATATCAAATGTCTCATCTTTTACAAGCTTTACTGTAAGGAAAATAAAGGACAAAAATAACTCTTAACAAGGACTGGAAGTAATACTGGCAGTGAGTGAAAGCTAAGGGAGCATTAATGGCAGGCAAAATGTACATATCCCATTTATATACTTAGGAATGAGTTCAGATGTTCCAAACTCCTGCGCAGAGCTGATAAATGCAATCTGTACATTCTGTAAAGCCAAGGTTTAGCAGAAGACACAATTCCAAGGAAAACTATATTAAAAAAAATAAACGGCCAGCAACAAAACTGACAAAGGTAACTTTAACCTTGGTTCACAAGTAAGATAGCTGAGCAGACCAGATGCAGACAGCTCCTGAAGAAAAATAAGGCATGACTGCCATGCAGCCATTGGGCAGGCACCTGTAACAATATTCATCCCGAACAACCTGAAGAGCCTGGATTTATGGTGCAGCTAAATACCAATATAAAATGCCTCAACTTCATACATCATGATTAATCAGAATGCTTTATTTCTCACCAGGGATTTCATTTTTGGCTTTTGTTTCTTACCTAAAAAATTATGTAATCACATCTTAACTCCAACAGCTACATGTTACTACATAACAAAAAAAACATGGTGCAAGATTTCTAGAATTCTACAGCACCTTCTGTACATTGATTTCTTGTAGAGTAGGGAGCAGGGGAATGAAGAAGGGGAAGGAAATACATTCTGATTGCTTCTCTTTCTCCCAAAAAGATTCAATCTACAAAATTATTACATAATATGACTTCACAAATACACTTTGGCTCCAAATCTTCATTTTTTTTAGCTCATTTACTTGTTTCATCATTCTAAATATTAGCACTTGCTCATTTTCTTTAACTTATTTTCAGAGAAACATTTATCACTCCAGTGAAAAAGACCAGTATCTCATCAAAACATCAAATTAAGGGTACCTGTGCAACTACATTTTATCTCTGATCTGTTACCAGCATAAGAGATGTTATAAAATGTATTTTTTCAAACTTTGGTCCTCGATGTTTGGAAAAAATTAATAATACAAGTGAACAATAGTTCATCCTAGTGAACTAGAATTTCTTCTAGTACAGAAAAAATTAATGACTTCAGCTTTTCTTTTAAATGGCATTAATAATTCATAACATTTCCACACGGAAGTATCATTTAACTTGTTGAAGGTATTTATACCTATTTGCAATTCATTTTTGTCTCAGGAATGCACAGCCCTCTTGAAAGGGGTTTCTACAGGAGTTTATTCGATTAAAATACATTCCAAAGTTCAGCATTTAACAGTTCACTGTTACAAAGGAAGAAAAAGGTTTTCTGACTCCACACTCTCAGAGTGCTTAGCTTGTCAAACCTTCCCTCTACCC